GTTAATTTTTCAAACCTTCAGGATTTTTTAAAATATAGACAGTAAACGTTATCTTAATGGAAATCAATAGGGTTCATTCTTAACCTATTATAAATATACATTTTATTCAAATAAAAGTGTCTGAAATTATGGCCTCTATCGTGAAACAAAAAAGCGACCCCGTACACAAACATACAATTAGACCAAAAGACTTTTGCGATTTTTTCCGCAAATAACAAACAAACGTACAGACCAATATACTTACAATTTTTTTTCGCAAGTACAAAAAAAAACTCTTACCTTCTCCCATTTGGCGATACCGGTGGCACTTTGCTTGTTCTCAGAGTGATCCCAAACATGTCACCGGTCAAAAGTTTGTGCAACTTCCGGTCGTGGAAATCCAAACCGAATCGTGTTTCACTGCCCCAATAACATATTGCATGTACATGCAGCCCTCGTTGTTGTTATACATGTACCTCTGGCCCTTTCTCGTCACCTTCTACGAGGACCACAAAGTGTCCTAGCAGATATTTACAGATATATCTTTGGCTTATTCTAAGGGGGCATTCAGAAAAAGTTGATCCTCGAACTTACAGGTCCGAGAATCAAATATGGCCGACCCACTTGGAAACTTGTCGCATAATCCCGTAATGGACTCTGAATAGACATCCTGCGGCAATTTTCGCGGCAAGCTTTCAAGTGGGTCGGCCATATTTGATCCACGGATTTGTTACATGTAGTTAGCGGATCAACTTTGGTTGTGAAAGCGGCCTAAGCGAACTTCTTGAAGTACAAGAGGACGCCGTCAACCAGCTGGCCTCTGGTAGATGATATATTATCTTGTACGGTAAATATATTGAAGTTACAAAGGAGAATATACAGGCATCTCGTGCCTTTCCCAAAGATGTGCCCACCCTCTCTTCTTACAAACCTTTGCGGTCAGATGTTGGAACTGCTCGTAGTCGATGAACAGCAACCAGGAAAGGATATCTGATACACAAAATCAACAAAGAAATTATTTGAGCAGGTGTCCGCAAAGGAGTTTACACGCCACACTTCCCGATTAATGTGCAGTCATAAGTCCCTGTAATCGATTTTGATATAATGAGATGCTCACAGTGACGTGACTTGTTCCTGGAAACTTTAACACCTTTCTCTTAATCACACTGGGTACTCATGTACCTTCACATCCGAAACACTTCACACTAACTTCTAATTGAAATTTCTTGGCCTTTGAGTCACTCAAAACACAGACTTTAGCTAATGTGTTACTTTCGCAAATTTATACGCTAGATATTCCAAAGCCAAAGTAATCGAGAATCTTCGCAATTTGGAGTTTATAGCTGCTTACCGAGAAAAAATGATGAGGTACTCATAAGTACGAGAAATATACGCGAAATTTGGCAGGTGATTTACTGAAACGGTTGGCAAGTCAGAGCGCAGGTCATGCGTCACAGAATGCGTTAGATGTGAAAGCTCTGAAACGGCACATCCAGTGGAAAACTAGAGGAATACATGCATTTGTAAATACCTTCAGACATCGTGATCATTTTTTGTGTCCCTGAGTGTTAAACGCAGGGCAAAGAGATAAAGAGGTTAAAAGACATATCGTAACCAGCAAGACCACCTTATACATATGCATGTACCAACATGGACATTGTGACAACCAAAGTGGCGCGCATCATATTAGAAAATAATGTATCTTATCATTATTTTTTCCAAAAGATTACGAAATGGCCTGAAATACATCCGACTAAATATAAGAGCGGGGAAAATGTGTACACCAATGCGTACATGCACTTGTTAACAGGAAGTTGCACATTTGGTTAACGCTATCGTTGTACAAAATAAATCGTGTTAACAGTTTTGAAAATTCCAAAGTCAGATAAATACATAATTGTTTGCCAACTACATAAGTTTAGAAATAAAATGTTTGCTGGGACACCTTTACGTCTAAGCATTAAGCATGTTAGATATTTACCTGTATTTTGTGGCCAATAAATGTATGTGCATTACATGTTTAATGGCGAATGGTGTTGTCCTTCGGTGAAAAGCGTGGATTAGTCTAGTTTTGAAAATAATTCGCAGTCAACGTGCACGCAAACATTTGAACGTTTGTTCGCGAGGAAAGAATTTGATGCAATTTGCTTAATTGCAGTATGCACCTGCCTGAAGAAAACATGGAACATGAAATCAATAGAATTGCGGTCTACCAGTACGGCACAACGGTATGGATATACCATGATTTGTGCGTCACTTCTCAGCCTCTTTAATAACTGTATTTCCAGCGCACCTTCCTCAGTACTTGGGAATTAAAGATATAATAACTCTTCGTATGAAATCTATATTTCACAATAAAAACATTGTAAACAATTCATAGAAATATAATATATTCTGTTTTACCACAAAAACGGCAATTAGTGCAATTATTCTGATATCCGAGCTTGTCATTGGACCACGTGACCTCCATAGATGGCTTTATTATGTTATAATCTCTTAAGAGATTATTACAAAAAAAAAAAAAAAAAAAAAAAAAAACTTTTCTTAGAAAAAATCCAGGGACCAACTATGAATGTAAAAATGGCTTCATTAACCATTGGTAGCCTAAGTATGGGAAAATTGTTGTTCACTCCAGGAAAATTCATTTTTTGGCCAAAACGAACAGTTATTATCCCTTTAACCCACTGAACGCAGATTTTGTACTTCAATTTTTCTGATGTCGTATGAGGCCACATATTGCGTGATATTATTTTATCTAACAATCACAATAACAAAGGTTAAATTTCAACTGTTTCCAATAACCATGGAACTCGCACATCTTGATTCATTGGGCGTTAGTTAACAAAAAGAGTTGTTATTGTTTCTTATTGTTCAGCGGTTTCCTATCCAACTCAAACTATGTATGGGCCTATTAATAAGCGTTTACGAGTGAATACACAGTTCAGATTAAACTGCAACATATTGGTTTGAGATATAGTGAGCAAACATAAATTTGTTTTCTCGATTGGGAATCGAATTCATACATTGCCTGACTTACATCTACAAAGCAGTTTTGTTTTGTTCTTTCTTCACATAAAGTTGCGGAGTAATCAATAACGGTTTACAGATAATGATATTTAATGCTAGCCATTGTTACACTCAACTGTGGCGAAGTGGAGGTAAGGTTTATCCTAATTTTGTACTTAAATCATATAACGCTCACTTTCTGATTGCTTAATCATAATGATAATGAGTTTCCCGACGAAATATGTTGTTATTTGTCTTTTGAGTGATGTTGTTAAATGTTCGTTTATAAAGAGACAAGGTGAGTTTTCCTACCTGTAGGCTATGATGATTGACAAGGGAACCGCGTGATCAAGTCAAATTTTAAACGCCATGTTGTATAGCGAGAAAAACTTGTTAAATATCTTTAGAAACGATTTAATCCATGAGCGATAAATTCGTCAATCTCAATCTTCGAATATTTTCCATCAATCTGCGTTTATCGAGTATTGATACTTGCAGTTTATACGAAAAGTTGTGCCGTTAGACTCGTAGAACATATGGAATGCATATGGCAGTCTAAGTCTCGGATGATACATTTTGTATACGCGTAATGTTACGTAGATTAATGTTCTGGGATAGTTTATGTAAAAAGAAATGTATACATTTTACGTGTAAAATCTGTTACATTTTGTTAAAAAAGGGAATGGACTTTGCATCCAGTGCTCCGGCCGGGGGGGGGGGGGGGGGGGTAAATTTTTTTTTTTTTTCTTTTTTTTTTTTTTTTTAATTTTTTTTT